CAAGGAAAATGAGTCTAAGGGTCCGTTTACTAAACGTTTACCGGTAAGTGCTTAGTGGGCAATTTTTCTTATCGGATGAAAATGGCAAGGGCCGAGAATCTTACCTGGTAAGAGCAATGATAAGGATGAAGAGTCTTACCCGGTAATTGAGGGTGACGACTCTTACTCGGGTAAGCGCTTACAGGGTATATTGTTATACTGTTTTGATGTACAACAATCTTACCCGGTAAAATAAATCATAGTGTTAACAACTACAACACGTAAGCGCTTACCCACGTAAGCGCTTACCCACGTAAGCATTTGGGTAAATGGCACCTGAGTACCTTTTAGATTTCATAAAGAGAAACTGACCAAAATAACCACTTTATTCGACAAAATTCATTTTTAGCTATTTTTTCATCAAAGTTTCCAGAATATCATTAATTCCGCAAGTGGTAAAAGCAGTAACTTGGGGAATGTACGTTTTCCTATTAACAATAATTAAAAATAAARTAAAAAAGAGGTCATTCAATAGTTGGTTTGTTCGGCTCTGCAAGTGACTCATCGACTCCTCAAGTTTGACCCAATTTCTGAATTATTGGGGAATGTGGGGCCTCACTTACGGAATTGATGATATTTTGGAAACATTGGTGAAAAAATGTCTAGAAAATGAGTTTTATTGAGTAAAATGGCTATTTTATTCAATCTCCCATTCATTAATCCAATTAGTAGAACATTTGTAACATTTATATGACAACCTAATCTTTATCATGCATTTTTCTTCTTCGTCTTAAATCTATACCACCACTTAAATATAGATTTTTTTAGTGGATTTTTATAACTGTATGGAATATTGGGTTGTAATTGTTCTCTAAAAACATGGGACTTATCATGAAAGGATTTGGGTTTATCCTTTGAAAGCTTATATGGTACAAGTATAATTGTGAAGCATTAATTATATTTTAAAAATCAAAAAAATAAGATTACCCATTGGCGACATGTCCAGATAGGTTCCCTGCATCCGCAAGTGCCTTTCTCCAGGATTCAACGTCTCTCCACTCAGACTCGTGTTTGGCAAATGCTTCTCCATATTTCCTTTTTTGATTTCGGATTTCCGAGGGATCAACGTGATAAAATATGGGAATAACAATTTGGTC